GTTGAAGGGTCAAAGTATAGTGCATCGTGCAAGCCAACTTGGTGGTTTCCTTTGTGGCTCGGATGCTTTCAGCTGATGTCCTCCTCCCTTCGGCGGATTTGACGCCTCCTATTTTAAAATAATTTCGTCATTAAATAATAATTTCGTATATTATATGAATCATTTAAAAAAAATGATTCAATGTTGTTATTTATTTATTTTTTATAATTTTAATTAGTTAATTAATTTTTTGTTTTGATTCATTATTATACATCAATACTTTAAAACGAATATTACATCATTATTTTTATAAATTTTTATTTATCAATTTGTTCAATAATTTTATGTAATATTGTATTTGTCGCGATTAATATACAGTTTTTCATAGTTTACGGAAATTAAAGTACCTCAATTTCTGTTAATATTATAAAAAAATCAAATGTTAGAAAAAATGTTTTTTCTTCAACAAATAAAATTCTAAAATTTTAATATAAATATATATTTATAATAAATTATTATTATATTATTTAGCAAAATTTCAAAATTAAAATTTAACTGTAAATTCATTAGAAATGCATTTTCATAAAACTATTTTTATTCGTATAAAAATGTCAATTATTTTCTAAAAAAATATTTAAATAAAAAAAAATAAAATTTAAAATAATTTAAAAAAAAACATAACATAAAAAAAAATTTTATATGTTATAATTTATAAAAGATTTAATCAAGAGATTATAAATATAAAATCTTAAATTTTGCTAGATAGAGATTTTAGTTTAATTCAAATCCTCTTTTCGTTTTTATGAATTATTATTTTTTTAATAAACTCAAATTATCAAATATAGTAAATTTAATGTTTTAAAATTTTTACTACATATTATTTATAAAATCAACTTATCGATATTATGAATATTCTCATATTTTAATGATTTTTAAATATATTATAGACAACAAGATTTTGAATAACTTTTATTTTGTACATATAACTAATGTTCTATCTTAATTTAATTGATAAAAAATAGTTGCAAATATTAAATTACTTAAATATTAAATATTAAATATTAAATATTAACTATATTAAATTTTTATATGAATCCATTATGTATACTTAAAATATTTGTAAAATAAACATGGATAGATGAATATCAATGGATAAATATAATGGATAAATATAATGGATAAGAAATAATTATATCCAAATTTTAATATAGCTATTATTTTTTATAAATATTTTAAAAAGCCAATTAATATATATATATGTAAGCCAGTTTTACATATATATATATAATTGTTCAAAATTTTACTTTCTAAAAAAAAAATCTTAAAAATCCATAAAGATATCAATAGATTCATTATATTAATAAATCTAATATTAATAAGCAATTCTTAAATTCTATTTAATTTCTCATTAAAATATTTGGCTTCGAAATTTACAAAAATTATGAAAATCAAAAATCAAATATATATGATAAATAAAAAAATTAATTTCAAAAGTATAGATTCAATTAAATTGATAATTTATTGTAAAAAAAATAAAATTTAGGATTTTTGCTTTCTCTGCTATTTAAATAAAATCTGTCATTTTTTAAATAATTGAAAATAAAAATGAATTAAAATTACAAATTTTTGCAATTTAATTGAAAAATGAATTCAACAAGAATTAATAAATTCTTATTTTTTAAAATGCACTTAAAATAGATATTGATATAATTAATAACAAAAATTAGAATACTTTAATTTCTGTAAACTATTGTATTTGTAACTAAATTGTAAGAAATAATATTATCATTGTATATACTATACTACACTGTACTATACACCTTTACTATAACTTAATTATTATTATACATAAATTAAAAATGATTTATATAAAATAATAAAAAAATTTTAAAGAATTTTAACAACATTGAATTATGGAAAAACAATACAAATAAAATTTATATTTAACAATGCTTGTGTTAAATTGATGAACATTATGAATATTATTGATGAACAATGAATATTAATAATTTCAATTATTTTTATACATAAATTTACATTATTA